CACCGCAGCATGGATAAAGAGCCAAGATGAGCCAAGGATGCAAGTTGCAAGCACATTTCGAAGTCCATTCAAAGAGATCATTCTTTTCTGCATGTGCGTTGGAGTCCTATGGGGCGGACTCCTTGTTGAGCAGGCAAGTCGGCGGCAAGCTTTGAACGTTCTTGACGCAAATGCCTTGAAAGACTTCTTGGCAGTATCAAGCGGTTAAGATCTTTTCAGGATACTATCAAGATGAGCAGCCCCAAAAGAACTTTGAAGAATGCAAAGACATGATAGTATATCAAGGATTTTTTTCGTGATTCTTGTGCATAGGCAAAATTGTGCAACTTGATTCTCACTTTGCTGTTGTGGCCGGCCTGCACAAAGAGAGGCCTCAAAGCCGGCCACAGACGGTCCAGGGCCACCAGAAGGTTGGTTCTGGAAAGAAGAAAAATATAAGGAGAAGGATCAAAAGGATCAGAAGGAAGCTGTAACGCCTAATTCCAAGAATAAGGAAAAAAGGAAAGCTGCCAAAGAAGGAGCAGGCGAAGAGGAAGAGGATGAGGAGCGACACGCTTGAGTTACACCATGGCGGGGAAATGGGTAGCATGATTGATTGGTCTCTTGTGTGGTTGCTACATGTTGCTACCCTCTTGTGGCGCAATTTTGGACCGGAAGATATTCTTAGATAGCTTCATGCTGCCCCATAATACATGGGTCTTTGGCAGTGGAGTCTTGATTGGTCTTTGGCCGGGAAGGAGACAATTCGATTGCAACCAGAGGTGCTCATGCTTGGATCAGCCAAAACTGGCAAGTCCTTGGGGGTGACTGAGCTTGGAAACAGGAGCAGAGAGAAAGCGCGTCATGTCGAGCCACAACTTTGCGGCACTCCCTTGAGCATCCTTGAGCGATACCTACTGAGGACCTACTGTTGTTGCTATAAACTGCTATTTGAGCTGAGGTTGCCTTGGTGCCAGGCAATCCGGGAATCCCTCACTACTATTGTGGCTTTGGTGAGGAACTGCAGAAGTCCTTCGAGGCTGAGGGCCTGGACTCTCCGACGATCCTTGGACAAATTGACACTGAAGATACTGAGACACTGACTAATCACCAAAACCAATCCCTTTTGATCTTGTATGACTCGTATCAGCCATCTCACGAATCATCTCTGCTGTTCCTTAGAGTTTCGTATATCAATTTGATATGTACTGTAAATCTCAATTTGTCTATATTTGTCGTATCTCAGCGCTGGGAAGGCCAAAACCCGACAGATACAATAGTCAAATGCTTGGCCGCCAGGATCACAAGTTGTGGACACTCCCTTTCCATGTCTAGATCCTGATGGGATGTTGCAACCTTTGTGAGTGACTCAGGATCTATTGCGTTGGTTATGTGAATTTTGCCACTCGAGCAGAACGGGTTACCAAAAGACAAAAAGCAGGTCCTGTGTCTGTGGTGGAGGACTGCACAGCTGTGACAGGCTATGAGCCCCCTTTTTTTGCTGTGGGGTGCTGGATTCCAAGTGCCGACAGCCAGTTGCCTCCAGCATTGTTTTGCTCATCACCCGTGGACCTGGACATGTCTGCCTGCCAAGACTGCGCCTTGTACTATTGACAAGCGTTGCTGTTTGCATTTTGAAAGGAGTCTGCACGAATAGCAGAGGTCCTAGAAGAACTACAGGTGCTTTGGCCAGCTTTTAAGACTTGTCAAAGCCGTATGTACTACTGGTAGCACAAACATTGACACTCTTTGAACATATATATGTTTGATGAAGGCTGGTTATTCTGTGACTTCTAACGTGAGACTGGTAGTTCACGGACTCATGCTGATACCAGTTTCCCTTGCAGTTCCAGACACAACGACTCAGTGTGGAGGTTTTCACATTTTTTGTTTCGCGCCACCGTTCGTTTTCGATCATGTCGGGGCCGTTGTTCAGCAAAGATCGTGTGTTCTATATAATACGATTAGTTGTTCACACAGCTGCGTTTCCGGTGGTCATAGATTTGGAAGCTCCTGTTGCCTTTCTACCGTATGCTTACTCATTTCTGAGATCTATTTGACCTGAAATGATTTGAATGCAGGCTTCACATCCAGATGGTTTTATCATCTTCGGCCACTCGATTGGAGCTTGGATGGTTTTGCAGCACTTGAAGTCACGAACGGCAGACGAAGTCCCGTTGGCCGTGCTTGCTATGCCGTGCTTTGGCAAGTCATTTTTTGGTTCTTCGAACTGGCAAGACTTTTCAAGACTTTGTCAATTGTGGCTTTAGGACCATCGTGCCCAATGGCAAACATACGTCTGCAGTGCAGATCAAAGTCACCCACTCCAAAAGGTGGTACTGATGGATGAACGTCCTGACATTCAGTTTAAGTAATATAATATAAGGGCTACCGCCCTGGTGCCGCCGACCCCCTTTTTTGGGGGGCATGTGACTGGAGCGAATGGGAGAGGCAGTTTGGCTGGCAGCACACAGAAGAGAGCATGGCGATAGAATATTAAAATATGCGATTTTATTATTAAAATATGTGCGCAGTGGCTGGGCATGTTTGCAGAAGCAGGATTGTGGCAAGGCGCGACTAGGTGCGAATATGGAAGAACGCGAGCTGAGAGTAGAAGGCAGCGAAAAAGTGCAATGCCATGGTATGGCAGGGTATGCTGCGCATTGGGAGGCAAATTGGACGGTGCTTGTGTGGAAAGATGATTGGGAATTTTGGAGCACCTGTGTACAGAAGTACGGTGATTGCTTTGGATAATGAAAGGAAATATACCACAACACGGTGTCATGATAGTCAGTGAGGGTCGGATCGTGCCTTCGTTGTTTGCGTTGAAACGCATATAAAGCCAAACTGTTGGTGATGCAAGCACTCTGCCACAACCTGTTGATTTCGGAATTGGGCGCTTTGCCAAAGCAGTCGAATCAGGCCACAATCAGAACCAATGCTCTGTTCAAATCAGGTTGGTGGTGCATTAACCTTCGGCTGGTTTCATGGCAGATCCAAGATCAGTACCAATCAACGTATAGAACCTGTGGAATCTGTGCAATTTTCTTGGTAAATTTCAATCGGTCAGGGATCAAATTGACATGGGGCAGGCAATACGCATGTGTGCGCCATTTTGGATGCTCGCCACAGATTCAGAACCTTTTGACTTTACCCCTTCTCCTTTTTTGGCCCTTGAACACGAGTGTACGTGAATGTACACCACTAGATAAAACGGATGTTTGAACACATCAGTTGACAGTCCACTCATGAAGACCAGTGATTTGAGTCATTCCTGGGATCATCTAAATTCATTTAAAATCATTACAAAATCATTGTAAGATCATTCTCAAGATTATCTAAGTCATTTGATTTATAAGACCATTATCCACAAATCATTCATAAATCATCCACAAATCATCCATAAATCATCCATAAATCATCCATAAATCATCCAAATGTCAGATCCTTATCAGATCAGTCATTTGAGGACGATGATTCCTTGAAATGCTGGGGCTCTGGTTCCTACGGACGCTTGGGGCTGGGATCCACCAGTCACATGGGAGACGACCCGGATGAGATGGGCGACTCCCTCCCTGCCATCGATTTCGGAGGGCGAAGCGTGGCTCGGCGAAATTGAGGTTTATGGATTGATGATCAAATGGATATTTACCACAAGATGTCACCAGGGTTTTAAACCATATATACATATAATTCATTATGATTCAGTATAGCCGAGCTTCAAAGGCCAGCTACGCCCCTAAAACGCACGTTCTGCCACACTGAAACAGCATGGCAGTGAGAAACGGATCGTGCCTTCGGAGGGCACCTGGTCATAGCGCGTTTGCTCGCTTTGAAACACAGCTTTCAATGTGATTTGTAGCGTGTAGACTGTTGGAGGGTATAACTGGGGATCTGTGGTTTTTGCTGAATCGGGTAGCGCAGAATTGTATGGAGAGCTGTATACATATGAACTGTTTGCGGTACTCGGTTATCGCGGACAACTTCGTAAATAGAGAGCAAGGGGGTTCAAGCCGTCAAGTTGCACAAGTCAGCTTAAATCCAATTTGAGATTTCTCGAGACATGGTGTTTCACGCATCACAGAGATCCAGATAGTCCATGTGACCTATGGGTCTGTCATTCTCTTTCGGGAGCACAACCATGTCCGCCCAGGGCATCAAACAGGGTGTCCTTTGCAGAGTCACTTCTGCCTTGGCGGTTGTAGGCTGGTGTTGAATGACCGCTAAAAGGGTTGACGGAGACATTTCGAACGTTTATTTGAATGAGCGGAAGGAAATTGCATAAGGTTATGACATGATCCATGTTCTTTTTATGTGTGTTTTCCGTTTTCTCCACCGTAGGTATCTTCTTTTACAGGAGCACAGCCCTCGTTGTGACATGACAGCTATAACAACTATGGCAAGCTCAGACATGTTGTTTTCATCACATGTTGGGCCAGGAGGCGCTTGCGATTAATATCGGTGAGGGTGGAAGTCTTCAACAAATTTTCAAAGAGGCCAGAATTTCCACATGTTTGTCCCAAGCTGCTGATCAGCGGCACCCTTCTAGTCGTTGAAGGCAAAACAGTTTTTTTGAGTTCGAAAATGTTACGGGAATTTTGCATATTCCATGTCACTGATGGGTTTTGGTGCATCGTGTTGCATCCAAATTTAGATGAGTCGATTTGATGCACTTGAAAAATTAGATCGGTTGCTATTCAGAAGCAGGTGGCTTGGTGAGCAGCGCCCGGTTCAACGAGTTTCCATGTGGATGCCTTGTCAGCCAAATTTCTTAAGCCAGTGCCAGGACAAAGTGTGGAGATCTAGCACTCGATTTTTGCAGGCTCCTCCCCTCGTTGAGCAGGAAATTGAAATGCGCCGGGCCTCTGTGATTTGATTTATTTGGCATTTGCGGCCCCGGGTTTCAAGAAAATGTCGAGATCCAGCGCTGGCATTGTGCAGCTTGTGGGCAATAGCGACGATGAGAGTCACAGATGAAGACCTCCCCTTTGACATGATCCCAGTAGGTTTGTTTGGGTGCTTGTGGCAGTGTGTGACCCTTTTATGTTTCTGAACCTGCAATGCAGCTTCAAAAGATGCCATCTACTTCAGATGGCCAGTCATGGCAAACCGGTAATTTGAGGATTGTTTCTGGATAGTATCCAATGATGATTGTGGTTTTCTTATCCAATGATATTATCCAATGGCAAACCGATATTATCCACCGATAATTTGACATTCATTGATTGTCCAATGATTTGTGTGTAGGCAGTTGCCGACGATAACTTCGTTGTGATTTTGGGAGCTGGAGAGCTCGCAGCTGTTGGAGGCACCAGGCCCACGCATTGCGGATGTCTATCACCTGAAGCTGCAGTGAAACTCACTGTCCAACGGCGTTCTTGCCGTGACGGTTCAGTCCAGGTTTGGAGTGTTTGCTTTACCCCTGTCATTCCGGTGGCAAAGAACTTGTGAAGTTTTGAGTTGCGAGCAATGAAGAAGATCCCATTGAAAAACCACCGGAAGTTTGATGCTTTGGCTTGAACTTATCTTTGCAATCACGTTGGCGGAGGTCATGAAAATTGCAGCCACACGGGTCGCTCGAGCACAGGACTTGCAGTTGACAGAGATATATGTGTGCGGCGTTTTTGTTCCGAATGTGTTTCCTTGCATGAGTTTCCTTGCATGTGCCCAACGAGTCTATCAGTCTATCAAACTACGCACGTGTTTGCCGGTCGGTCCGTTCGGTTTTGCTAATTTGAATGTAGATCATGGTTTTCACCCAATTGCACGCAGCCTTGCCCACAGTGTTGTTTGGGCAGGATGATCTGCGCAGCTTTTTCGACGGAGCACTCCAGACCAAGGAAGGGATTGTGGAACTGCCATGCGCCGCACCGGAAGAGGACCAATCATTGACCAACGTCTCCGACTTTCCAACCATTCTGATAGTCCTTGTCCTTTTGGAAAGAGGGGTGGAAAGATGTGAAAAGTAGCATGAAAGTATCATAAGTCATAAACCAACAAAATATCAGCAGAAGACCATCCAAGACTCCGCAGATGCTTCCTGCAGGAAGTCCAAATCCATGGCCTGCAAGACAGAGAGCGTTGAGCGCCGGGGCGCCTTGGATGGATGCAGCGCCAGTTCAAAGTTGCTGGTTTTCTTTTTAAGTTTGTGATGATTTTGTGATGATTTTGATGCCGTTGCTTTCAGTTTGAACGCTTTGCGCTTCAAAAATGATCTGAAAGCCATTCATCATGGGGAAGTTTCATGATATCATGCATCATAGCACAGCTTCACATGCGACCATGAAACCCAGCGTGGTTACAACGGCGCAACGACATTCAGCCAGGTTCGCACAGCGACACGTGTGTCTTTGCAAAGCTATGTTCATTGCTCTTACGGATGCCATGTACATGGATGCAGGGTTGAAACAGCGTGCACTTCAACACTGGGGGTCTTGAAAAACAAGGGAAGTTTACACAGGCTTAGTCTCCCTGTATATGCAACTGATGCAAAAGTGAACAGTGACAAGTCTTTAGGGGCAGGGTAACGTGTGGTTGAGCATGGATGCAAGAATGACCAGATAGTACCGCAGCGATAATAATATTCTTCTGAGAAGCAACGTTGCCTTCGTTGCCTTTGATGGACCTTCCTGCTGAGCCCATGCAATTTTCACAGATGCAAGAGCGATAGATGTTCTGCGTGTGTGTGAATTAAGTTTTGCAAGTAGCAAGGGCATTTCAATGCTGCGGGGGAATGGGTGTATACCGTATACCAGTGTTTGACAGTAGAACAGCTGCGCCAGGGAGAAATTAGCATGGTGCTTTTACAATTATGGGCTGTACCATTCCAGCTGGATGTTTACTGTCAAACTGTTGGCATTTGTTGGCATGTGGGGTTTGGGGGAGTCACTTGTTTCAAGCACATGTGCAAATGTTTGATTGGCCCATCTAGCATCCAAAAACGTCACCATACGTTCGAACAGTGTTGGACACCTCTGTTGGACGTTGGACACAGAGCCCTTAACCAGGATGATTTCTGCGCGTGTGAAAAACAGCCTCTTTGAGATTGGGCTCTTAGGATGTTGCCTTCGGGCAAACTGCCAATGCGCCTGCCTCACGCCAGGCTGGGGTATAGCCTGGGATCACAAACGGAGATTGCGGTTTTGGAAGTAGCTTCTCCCATCGCTTTTCAGCTTTTCCATGAGATATCCGGAATTTACATGAATTTGTCACTATCTACGGTAGCGCATGTCCAACCGTCCAACCCTGCTTGACAGTGGCACAATGTGGCACATGTTGTTCAATCTGATTCTGCCACGTCGAAACCCTCATCGGACACGGACAGGCGGGTCAGTTGCGTGTACCAGGCCGAAAGTCTGACATCAGTGAAAACTACAGCACATGGGGATGAATTTCAAAGAGGCTTGGAAAGCTGTTTTGCGATTACTTTTTCCGAATTTTTGAGTTTGGTTGTTTTCTGTTTTAAACTTTGACCCTCACAGGAAGCATGTGTACAATCAAGATTCGGCCAAGGCGCCGACGCTTGCACCAGCAGCAACGCCGGGTCCTGGTCAGGCTTGGAAACATAGGGCAAGATTGGCGAGATGTTCCTACCATTTGCATCCATTTGCGCGCTTTGGAGATGGCTGCTGTACATGATTAGAGGAAAGATTTGAAATAATTCACATGATTTCTCATAATTCGAGTCGTTTTGGTGATGGTAAAATCAATTACTTTGAGGCCACGGAAGTCCTGTGACTTTTTGGGTCAGCCACTGCCGACGATTTCCAGGTCTCCAACTGCTGGGCTCTTAGGGATCGGTCTAGATTGCGATGTCACGGCGATGTCCGGCTCGCAGCATGCCGTCAGTATGTTTTTGGTGTTGAGCTTTTGGCATGTTTTGGCTTTTTGGTGTTGAGCCAACAACAGAAAACTACCACAAGATATTCAAGATACCATTTCTTTGTATTGTCGCGCAAAAAGCAACCATGCGCCCTGGGCCAACCTTTGTGACACCCTTGTGACACCCTTCCGACCTTTCAGTTTTCGGCTTCAGACGGCTTGCCACGCATTCCAGCTATTTTCCAGCTTTCCACCATGCGTATGCAGCGTACGCAATGTGCACAGTGGATGCTGTGGTACCGCCTGGTCCTGTTCGCCTGGACCGCGGTCCTCATCGCCGGAGGCGCTGTCGCTTGGAAGTTCATCTCGGAGCGCGGCTTTCATCTTCCAGCGATTCCAGGCGCCATGAAATGCCATGAAATGCCATGAAATGCCATGAAATGCCATGAAATGCCATGAAAACCCTGTTTCGATCGTATGATGTGCAGCAACTGCCGTATAGATGGTTTCCCCAGAACATCACCAGAACATCCCATAACATCCTAGAACCTCCCAGAACCCAACTTTCGCACAGTGACACATGTTGATCATGTTGCATGCTGTTGCCGTGCCAGGCAGCCAGTACGACAAAGAGGAGCAGTCGTACCTGGGTTTCTTCGGTGATGGTGTGGATGGGGCTCAGGCTGCGCTGGTGCTTGGCAGTGATTCTCCAGTCATGGCAATGACCAACGTATCTACCTGTCAGATCAAACCAGCTCTGCAACAAGTTGGGAGCACTGGAAACACTTTCCAGTTGGAGTTGTCCTGTCAGAATGAGTCTGCACCTGGCGGTGGATGTATCACATCTTCACAACTCAGAAGTGAAGTGTACTCGCTGGTGAGCATGTTCATGTCCAACATGATGTCGCCAGAGAATTTGTCTCACTTCCTCGAGCTACAGGTGGAACCAATGCTGGATGCTGCTCCGGAGATGTTGGCTTGTCCACATGTTGAGGACACCTTTCAAAAAAACCTGGCAGAAGCATCTTTCCAAGTGGAAGAGTCTCTTCGCCAGAAAATGCCGAACTGCGACTTAGCAGTTCTGTCTTTCTGGTCTCTGCCTCCTCAGCAGTTTCAGCGCAACTTGACCTTTGCAGAGTTCAAGTTTGAAGTCACGGTCACGCTCCCAGCAGGAAGCTTTTGGAATGTTTTTCAAAAACTGCTCAGCTCCAAAAGCCAAGAACAAATCATGGTGGCAGTTCGTGCGCACACATGCAACGGCTTGCCAGTTGCTGACTTCTCACAGGAGGCTCTTCAAGTGGCCAACATTCTGAAGGATGTTGCAGAGGCGGCAGAGGGCATCGACGGTACCAACTTGAAAGCCGAAGTGATGTCCTTCGCCATCATCGTGGAAAGTATCAGAGATGGGGTTGAAGTGGTGATGGCCATGTCAACAGGTCGGGCCTGGTAGGGATTTTCAATTTTCATCAGAAATGCGGCAGCCGAGAAGCTTCACAGGGAAATGCAGCCGTTGTAGTTCCATTGTCTTTTTCAGCCTTTTCAAATTTATTTTTTTGAAAAGTCCATGTCATTTTGGAGTGCGGATTGAATATAGCCGAGTGCTGCTTGAAACCTGCTTGGATGACATGTTTGCTGAATTTCTACTGGTGCAGGTACCCTTCCCCTTGGGATTGCGGTCTTGGCATACATGGTGGGGAACCCGCGCTTGGTGATCATTGCCATCATCAATGTACTAGCTGCCGTCACAGGTTCGGTGCTGGTCATGGAGTGCCTTGTAACCCACCTGATGCCGGTGAGCATTTTCACGCCGCCCTTCTTGATTGCAGTGGTCCTGTCCATGTCCATTGACTATGCCTTGTTTCTTTTGAGCAGATTCCAGAAGGAGACAGCAGCAGGTGCAGCAGCAGCTGAAGCCATGGCTATCAGCCTTTCCACATCTGGCCGTATCGTCGCGCAAGCTGGTGTGATCTTAGCGTGCTGCTTTGCCTGCTTACTGATGACGCCAGTGCAACTGGTCAGTGCCATGGGAGCAGGTGGGCTTGTGGCGGTGGCTGTGGCCATGGCCGCCAACCTCACCTTGACCCCAGCTCTGATTTTAGGAACGCGACCCACTTTCTGGATTAGCAAGCCCAATGCACCTTGTCGTCAAGCTCCAGAGGGAGATGCTGAAGCACCAGGTGACGAAGAGTTGCATGTTCCCAATGTTTCCATGGGCTTTTGGCGGAGGTTTGGGGAGCGGTTGGCAAGCTGTGCCAAGCCTCTTCTGTTCTTGATTCTACTCTCTGCAGCCCCTTGCGTTTGGAAGGACTTGATGCCTTCTTCAGACATGTTGGGTTTCACACCAGCCCTCCCACAAGGCTCGTCCACAGCCAAAATCTTCCACAGCATTGGTGAAGAGTTTGGATATGAAGTTCTTTTCCCCACAACAATTGGGCTGGTGGCTCCAGCTGAAGTGAACCTGGAAGAATGGAGGCTCCAGGCTTGCAAGGCTTTACAGGAGATTGGGGAAGAGGTGTACAGAAGTGACTTCACGAGTTCAACCTTCATGAGTGAAGTCATCATTGATGGCAAGTGCTTGGCAGTTGATGTTGCTGGAAGTCTGCTGAAGTGGTGGCAAACCAATGGACAGGAAGGTACCGTCGTCTACATCGACTACCCATTGAATCCTTTGTCCATCGATGGACAACGATGGACCAAGAGCTTGCAGAGAGCTGTGGAAGACCATCATCGGGGCAGATGGTATGTGCATGGATATGGTCCACTCTTGTCCAGCCAATCTGGTGAGATTTTCCATATTTGGTTGTTGCAACGGTTTGCGCGGTCCTTCTCATTTCCATTTGCTTCACACGATCTGTTTTATGGAGCTTGCGGGCCCTCCTTTGCCTGTTCTGGATGTTAGCTGTTCTTTGGTGTTTGTCCTCCCTCGTCTTTCCTGAAGGGCTATACTACATTGTGCCTTCCATGATGTTGCCCTTCCTGGTGGGTGTGGCCTTGGATTATGACATTTTCTATACTGAGGCAGTCTTGGAAGAATGCAATGGTGGCCTCCCAGTGAAAAAGGCTGGCATCAAAGCGCTTGAGAAGACTGCCAACATCATCACAGCAGCCGGAGTGGTCATGATAATAGCCTTTTGCCCACTCCTGCTTTCTTCAACGTTAGTCTTGAAGCAGATTGGTTTCATGGCAATTGGTGGTTTGTCTATCAGTGCTTTCTGGAACACCAAAGTGGCCATGCCCGTGTGCTTGCACTTCTGCGGGAAGCACAGCTTTTGGCCTCGGAATTTGGAGAAAAAGCAGCGCTGCCAGCAGCCAATTGATGCCATTTTCCTGGGGCACCCTGCCTACCTGGTAGATACGTTTACCTGGTTGACCTCGCCTGACACCGAAAAGCCATGGAGCGCATCGTGGTGGATGTACCTCTTCCTTCCTGTTCTTTGGCTGCTTGGTTTCGTTGGGGCGCATATCTTGAGGCGCCTTGGCTTGCCAAATCATGTTGTTTTGGATGACTACGAGTACAACGGACTTCATGTCCAGACTTGGGTGGTTCTGCACTACGGCCGCCACTTTCGCAACTCTTTGGAACTTCATGATGCTCGACGCAACGTGAGGGCAGCAGCCAGCAGGGCTGAGAAGACCGGCGCCCGGGTGCTAGGATTAGGTGCGCTCAACAAGGCAGAATCTTTGAACCGTGGAGGCCTGGACTTGGTTCAACACTTGCCTTTAAGCCGAAGCATGTGTGTGACTCATGGAGATCATCTCACAGCTGCTGCAGTGGTGGAGAATGTGCTACGGCTGGTCGCAAGGTTCCCTGAGTTTCGGGAGAAAATCTTCATGACCGGAGCCACGGGGAAGACCGGGAAGGCCGTTGCGCTGGCCTTATTGCGCCGCGGTGTCTCCGTGATGTGCCACAGTGGCAGCAAGCAAAGACGAGATGAATTGGAGACTCATGGGTTGGCCACTGCATCCCACCTGCGTGATGGGTCTGACTGTGGCATGTGGATTGTGGGTAAATGTGACCAGTTGGTGAACCAAGTCATGCCTCTATCTGCTGTTGCCTGTGTCTTTGCGGTGCCAAATCCAGTTAATCCAGTGTCCCGCTCAGATGTCATGGTATATGCTGGTGCCACCATGCAGATTGATGAGTCGCGCTTGAAAGGACAACGAGCAAATTTGAAGCTCTTACGCCAAGAGATTTATGCATGCAATGCAGCCACCCTGCTTCTTGCATCAGGTTCCAGGCAGTTCGATGAATTGGGTGAAGTCGATCCATTGACATTGGAAGCCTACCTGGAGGGGGCTGAATCCATTGGCATCACTCTGAAGCCTCTTGAAGAACTTGCACAGTAAGGGGCGGTAGCTCTTAGAAACTTTTGGGTTGTGCTCTCTCACAACCATTTGTACCGAGGAAGCGTTCGAGGGAATTGGTTCCTGGATTTGGCAGACTATTATTACTTTTTTTTTTCCTGGGGGGGGGGGGGGTGGCAGACTATTATTACTTTTTTTTTCTCTGGGGTGGGGGGAGGCCTTATGATTATTATTTTTTCTATTCCTTTCTTGTCCTTTCCGGGATCGCCACTAATTTAGTCTACGGAAGCTTTTTCGTGCATTGAAATTAGTCTTGTGAGGCTTTCCTGTCCTTTCCGGTTTTTTTTCCCCTAGACTAACTATATATGCAAAAAAAAGTCCCCTAGACTAAATATATCTTCAAAAAACAATTCGTAGACTAAATATATGTTCCAAAAAAAGCCCGTAGACTAAATATATATTCAAACAAAATCTGTAGACTAAATATATCTTCAAAAAAAAATCCGTAGACTAAATATATATTCAAAAAAAATCCGTAGACTAAATATATTTAAAAAAAAACCGTAGACTAAATCTATTTTCAAAAAAAAATCCCTAGACTAAATATATCTGCAAAAAAAATTCCCCTAGACTACATATATCTTCAAACAAAAATTCTCCAGACAAAATATATCTTCAAAAAAAAATCCGTAGACTAAATATATATACAAAAAAAAATCCGTAGATTAAATATATACTTTAAAAAAAACCTAGACGAAATATATTTTCCAAAAAAAGCCCGTAGACTAAATATATATATTCAAAACAAATCTGTAGACTAAATATATCTTCAAAAAAAAATCCGTAGACTAAATATATATTCAAAAAAAAACCGTAGACTAAATATATATTAAACAAAAAACCGTAGACTAAATCTATCTTCAAAAAAAAATCCCTAGACTAAATATATCAGTTAAAAAAATTTCTTAGACTAAATATATCTTCACAAAAAATCCCCTAGACTAAATATATCTTCTAAAAAAAATCCCTAGACTAGATATATCTTCTAAAAAAATCCCCTAGACTAAGTATATCTTCCCAAAAAAAAACCGAGACTAAATCTATATTCCAAAAAAAATCCCTAGTAAAAATTTCAAGGACCTTCAAACATCGATTTTTTCCTTTGAAAAGTGCTTCTTTTACAGGGTTTGGTGCCAAATCTGGACCCCTGGGCCTTTTGAAGCTCCAAAACCAATCTATATTCAAAAAAATTCCACTAGACTAAATATATCTTCAAAAAAGTTCCCCTAAACTAAATATATCTGCAGAAAAATTCCCCTAGACTACATATATCTTCAAAAAAAATTCTCCAGACTAAATATATCTTCAAAAAAAAATCCGTAGACTAAATATATATATACAAAAAAAAATCCGTAGATTAAATATATACAAAAAAAAACCCTAGACTAAATATATTTTCCAAAAAAAGCCCGTAGACTAAATATATATTCAAAACAAAATCTGTAGACTAAATATATCTTCAAAAAAAATCCGTAGACTAAATATATATTCAAAAAAATCCGTAGACTAAATATATATTAAAAAAAAACCGTAGACTAAATATATATTCGAAAAAAAATCCGTAGACTAAAAAAAGTAATAATAATTGGCCGCCCCCCCCCTCCGGTCTACGGGACGGGGGGGGTTTCCACCAATTATTATTATTTCAAGTAATCGTAGTTGCTTCTCCCCCCATTATTATTACTTCAAGTAATAATAATTGCTCAAATCCCGGTTTCCCCCGATTATTATTACTTGAAGTAATAATAATTGGTTGCCCCCCCCCCCCCCCCCGAGAAAAAAAAAGTAATAATAATTGGCCGCCCCCCCCCTCCGAAGAAAAAAAGTAATAATAATTCAACACCCCCCGGCTCCCCTCACCGGTTTCTGCCTCTCACCCTAGACTAGATATATCTTCAAAAAAATTCCCCTAGACGAAATATATCTTCAAAAAAATTTCCCTAGACTAAATATATCTTCAAAAAGAATCCCCTAGATTAAATATATATTCAAAAAAAATCCCCTAGACTAAATATATCTTCAAGAAAATTTCCCTAGACTAAATATATCTTCAAAAAAATTCCCTGAACTAAATATATCTTCAAAAAAAATCCCCTAGACTAAATATAGCTCCAAAAAAAAATCCCTAGACTAAATATATCTTCAAAAAAAATCCCCTAGACTAAATATAGCTCCAAAAAAATTTTCCCTAGACTAAATATATCTTCAAAAAAAATCCCTAGACTAAATATATCTTCAAAAAAAAATCCCTAGACTAAATATATCTTCAAAAAATAAAACCTAGACTAAATATATCTTCAAAAAAATTCCCTAGACTAAATATGTCTTCAAAAAAATTTCCTAGACTAATTATATCTTCAAAAAAAACTTGCATACAAAAAATCAAATTTTCGAGGGCCTTCAAAAATCGACTTTTTCCTTTTAAAAAATGCTTGTTTTACAAGGTTTGGTGCCAAATCTGGACCCCTGGGCCTTTTGAAGCTCCAAAATCAAAATATATCCAAAAAAAAATCACCTAGACTAAATATATCTTCAAAAAAAGTTCCCCTAAACTAAATATATCTTCAAAAAAAATATCCCTAGACTAAATATATATACAAAAAAAATCCCCTAGACTAAATAGATCTTCAAAAAAAATCCCTAGACTAAATATATCTTCAAAAAAATTTCCCTAGACTAAATATATCTTCAAAAAGAATCCCCTAGATTAAATATATATTCAAAAAAAATCCCCTAGACTAAATATATCTTCAAGAAAATTTCCCTAGACTAAATATATCTTCAAAAAAATTCCCTGAACTAAATATATCTTCACAAAAAAATCCGTAGACTAAA